TCGCTCCTATATATATATATATATATATATATATATATATATATATATATATATAATGTTAGAATAAATGATTGTTAAGTGTACGTTTGAATTTACATATAGAGAAATGGTGTACGTTTTGCTAATTTGCATAGGCGCCATATTGTTTTCAATATGGCAGATTTTGTTCAATGCATTATAAAAGAAAAAAAGCATAGATTAAAAAATATCAATTCGGAATAATTTCTTCCTCATTTGATTCTATCTTTTATTTTGTCCTGTATCTGAATGCAATCTTTCGTTTACAAAATGACGAAAAGTTGAAAGTTTCTTTCGAGTTTGAAAATCTAAAGCGAAGCTGCATTATAATGATATTCATGTAGAAAAAAATGTGATGAAAGAGCTTACAAGGTCTTTATCAAGCAAATTTATAAATATTTGTCATTTTACAATTTCATCCTCATCTTGCGTGAAGTTGTCAAACTTGCAATTTCAGTTTCTAAGATACATGTTATCAGATTTTTTTTTTAACCGAAGATCCCGTTTTAGACAGAATCAGAAAAACTGAACAACACTCCCAGTGGGGAAATTGCAGGGTTTTTTTTTTTTTTTTACCTGAGAAAATATTGAACTTCATTATTGTCATACGATGAGGGATAAGATCAAATAATTACTTCTGTTTCATTATAAAAAGATTGATAATTTATTTATTTTATTTTTTTTTTTTGAAAAATATCACAAAAATAATGAATATTCATTGCCAACGGCCACATTGTCATTAATTCATGAATAAGGTGTACATGTACAACATTTACGTGTAACCATGTGATGTACTCTGACCAAGGTTAAATCACGACAAATACCATCTATATTGGTGATAAGAAAATTAATGGAGGGACATGTATACCAGAAATAGAGATTCTTCTCAAATTTATGCCCTCTTTCCAGATTGTATTGTTTTATAGATTTTTTTTTTAAATCAATCACTGCCTGTTATCTTCACCTTTTTCATAGTGATTTGGATTCACAATATACATCTTCAGTCTTGTAAAGATGGAAAAGACTTACCAGATTTTAAAGTCTATACCAATAGCTTATCTTAATTTGATCTTACAATGTCGAAGTGTAGGGGAAATCTACCAAATTCAGATAGTACAGCAAAACTAGTTGCATATTTATGCACACCAAATATTAATTTGCAAATTTTTTTTTTAGTAAACGGATTAAAATTAACCCAAATTTCATATGCATACAATGATTAAAATAGGGTTAATTGAATGATCAAAAAAGTGAACAGTGGTTTTAATGTCTAAATTTATTGAAACTATTAATTTTTTCTTCCTTTTTTTAAAATTAATTAATTTATTTTTTTGATAAAGTTAATATACTTTGAGCAATAGATAAGAGCATGAGAAATGATACATTTAGGTATTTGTATTTAGATACACTATATGACATAACAGTGTATTTACATATAAATAAATTTCTTGTGTTTATAAATTAAACCTTATTGCGTGGCATAATTCATTTTTAAATGTATCATTTTTATTTTTTATTTTTTTTTCTACTTTTCGCTGGAATCTAACTAAGATTGAAGCGAGATGAAATATTTCATTACAGGTATATAAAACCACAAAGCATCAGGGGTGTGCAATTAAAAAAATCAAGTACTAGCCCACGGGCTAGTGGCAGCAATAAAGTTACTAGCCCACAGTAAAAAGTTACTAGCCCAAATGTAGGTGGGATTTATGTAACAACTACGAAAAAATACATTATTGTTGAATAAGTCAAGGGTTTAAGGTAATTCTTTTTAAAATTAAAGTTTTATTCTCACTAGTAAAATTGAATCATGTATAAATTAATAATTATGATAGAAAATAAAAATGAATTTAAATAAATTATTTTTTTTCCTTTTCTCTGTGCATATTGCACTAGCTCATCTAAAACGAAGTGAAATCTTTTTTTTTTATCTTAAATTATTAAATACACTGGAAATATATTTAATGTACACGTAAATCACATAATACTTATCTTTCAGTTGATTGAGTGATCGTAAATAATAGATATCTGCGTTTTTGGAAGTAAATAAGTCAGGAAGTGCTGCAAAATGGATAAGATTATGGAGATTTACGAACAATAGGAGCATTCTGCCTGGAAATTTTTCATTGGTTGGGAACTTAATAGCAAAAAATAAGTGAAAATACCGGTAGTGATTTTCATTTATAACATTGGTATTTTTAATTTTTACTAGCCCAAGGGGCTACCTGCATGCAGAGAACAACTAGCCCGACCCCAAAAAATGGTAGCCCTGGGCGTCGGGCGATGCTAATTGCACACCCCTGAGCATCATATCTGGTCTTTGTTCACAAATGTATACAGTTTTGTTTTAGAAGGAAATGGGCTATTTCAACACCCCACTCCACTCCAAAAATACTCAATGTGCCCCAAATTAGCAAAATTCTGGATCCACTCCGAAAAATTCTGTTCTATCAACAGTGAACTAATTGTTGAGACAATTACATGCACAGCATTAATATTCCTGCAAAAATAAAAATATTAAACAAGCCATCTCAATTACACATGTAATGAAAATTAATACTGTGTATACTATCAATAATTATCATTCCAGGCACAAAAGTAAAAGGCTGCTAAATTAATTTTGTCAAGTAGGTCACGTCTGCTGCAGTTTGGAGATCTTATCTGCAACTTTAGAACTTTACACATGTTAGAGATACTGGAGGCACATAATGCCCGCTGTGATAATCAGTCTTTCTCGCATATGTACATAAACATTATAGGGTATACATCAATCTGATTTTGTATTCTCTGTATATACCGACATGCATTTAAACGCATGTCTGTTTATTAATCCCGTTATTATGGGAATCATACTGTCGAAGCATGGTGTTTATGCATTGTTACAATCACGAGGATACCTTCAGCCTTTCCTTACAAACTGATGACGTATCTAAGCTATTTTAGGAGCGAGTTTCCTATCTTAAAATTAGAATATATGTACTATTTTCTTATTCGCAATATCTGTAAATCTATTTTCTTATATAAATATTTAGACTTGCCGTTTACTGAGATTATACAATGCATTTTTAAATCTTTACACCCTGCTCAATTTGTAGGTTAAAACTCTAATTTCAACCTTTCTCCCATTTTCACAACATCCTGCATTTAATCGAGGATACCCCCTTGGCGGCTGTTTGTCATTTGTATGTATTGATGCGCCTCTGGCGCGCTGACTATGAGGAGTTGATAAAATCAACTCCCAAAAATTACCTATTTACACTTAATGTCGCCGTATAATTAAAATTAATTGATACACTGATGAGCATATGCATTCAAAGCCGCTTGGACAGACTGGTGAAAGAGTTAATTTCACTTAATTATTTCTTAATTAATCGGGTAGTTTTGTAAATGTAATTAACTATGAACACTGATCCAGACACCAAGCGTTAGAAAGCTTGGGTTAATATTGAGACTAAATTTAGTTTCAACACATTTGGTAAAACGTATTTATTACGAACGTACAATTCAGGATTAACTTAAGAAGAAAATAAGTTATGAAAAAAAGGAGTCCGTGTTATCCTGTCATGTACTTCATGAAATAAATAGACTCCCTGCCAATCGCTCAGGTAAGTGCACTGAAGTGTGACTAATCTCCCCAGTCTTTCACTATCGGCAAATTTCAAAGTGAAAATCAAGCCATTGTGTATAGACAAGCGACTGTGCATAAACCACAGGTGTAGATAGGTGTCATCTTTTGTTTTGTTGATTGTCCCAAGAGTGAAAAGGTGTGAAAAAAATATTACGGACGGAAATTTTATATTATAGTAAGTGAAGTGTATACTTTTACCTATGATAATAACAGACGAAATTTATAATGAATTATTAAGAAATGGTTTTGTGTTTCAGATATCTATGATAAAAAAAGAAGTATGATATAAAACCGGTATGATAAAAAACGAATTGTACTGTACTACACGACTTTTACTTTAGAATGAACCTGCTCCAAAATGTTTAACCTGTTCACCCATCCAGAAAGTGCAAGTCATATGGATCAGCATCTTTGCAAGTCTGGTAGTTCATCCTCAGAATTTTAAATATTTTGAAGGAAGATAAAATACAGATGCAGGGTTTTAAACTAACTTGTAATCCTTGATAGCCATGAGGGCTACTGAACCTTGCAATTCTGGGGCCCGCATCAAAATTTATTCGCCCACAGATTATCACACCTTCTATTGAATATAAAAACAACAATCCAATTTTTCGTTTTTTTATCATGTGCTTCGTGTTTCTTTTCTATCCGTTGTAACATTATGCACGACTTATCTAAATTTGAAGTGGAACTCTTCTGTTTATGAAGATTGATATGATCATTCAGTATCATATATAGAGCACATGGCACGTTTTCATTCACAAATAACAACAGCACTTTTTGGTTTCATGGGCTCATTGACCCGTCGATGCCACATTATGCCTGACACAATCACTTAGACGCTTTATGTATAAGAACTTCTTACGGGTAATTATAAAGCACTTTACTGATTACGAAAATTTTCAAGAGAAAAATACAAATCATTCAGACAAAATTGAAAAACAAATATTTATTATCGTAAATTTTCTAATCGCCATGTGGGCAACTTGAACGTAATTTTAAGTCGCCCACATGGAACATTAGTCGCAAATTGCGAGTGGGCGACTGTTAATTTCAAACCCTGAGATAACTTATTGAGAGTCCCACAAATGATACCATCCCTTATTCTATCAATTATTATTTCCCCTTAAGAGATGTTCCAAGATTTGTAAAAATTAGGTTCTGAAAAAAATTTTTTTTTGAATGTGTGAAAAACTGATAGATGGCCAACACTTTGAAGACACATTCATCAGAAAAGCTCTAGCTTTTAACTTAGGTGAACTAAGAAAAGAATTAAATGGTGTAAATCCAGAATGTAAATTGTAATATTCTTTGGTTAGGTTTACAATTTGATAAATATTTCTGCTGGACTTACATCAGACTGGGTTACCTGTTTGCGCACAGCTGGACCAATATTCAACTTCCTGTCCTTGAATACCAAATTGTCCGACTGCAAAACACACACATACCTAAAATAACTTTTCTTAAATATCTATTTGCAGCTAATTGTGATGTCTTAAAGTAATAGTAAAGACACTCTTGTTTTAATAAACTAATCATTTCATGTTACATGAATATTTACTAGGTAATGTGCAAATTTTACATGCTGCCATTTGCTATCTTCTGAGATTTCATACGTACATCTTTTTTAATAATTCTGTCAGCATCCTCCTGATTCTCAAATGTGATGAATCCATACCTGAAAAAGAAAAAGTAGAACTGTTGAAGACCAGCAGATCATATAGTCATGCATGATACAGCAACAACGTGTAACAGTCAGGCCTTAAAAACTACTTAAATATCTAAGGATGCCAGATAATTAATTTGAAAATGCAATAAACAGTAAACTTAAGGACATACGTAACGTAGTTCGAACTTTATTGTCTTTTTCCCTGGAGCTGAAGAGTTCCAGTACCTAAAGGAACTGTGTACTACATTTTAATGTCTATATATGCTGTTGTACACTTCTTCTAAAACAAGTTTGGATAAACAAAACATCTAGAATATATGTTTAGTAATTTTTGTATATTTTTCTTTAAGTTATACAAGAATTTTCATCAATTGATATCTTTTCAAAACCCCTGGTAATGCATGCTGATTTTTTGTCTACAAACATCTGATAGCACTATAATCTTAAATTAAGAATGTCTTGAAAAATTATCAGTAGGTAAGGTACGTTGCGTATGTCCTTAAGACTGTAGACTCATTTCTACATCGTAGTGTGCGCCAAAAACTTTTCAGTACTAGTCCAATGGGGCTAGTTATGGCAAAATTTACTAGCCTGAATCGCTTTTATACTAGCCTCCCAGAAGTGTGAAAAATAAATGACATAAGCCTTTTACATTTAATTTATGTTTTAATTAATACTGTTTATTAACTTCAGTGAAGGTCTCTGTTTCAACATAAAAAAAATTCCCCAATTCAAATAAGCTTTTGGTTTGATGAATTATTATTAACCAAGTATGAACAGCAAGAAATCTACAGGGATATCATGGATATGGAAATCATCATTTAATCAAGATGACTTGTTTTCAGACAACAATGTCTGACATTTTCTACAGTATTGAGATATATCTATTACTGGATATTTTACTAGTCTGTTTGGGCTTGGTGCCAATTTAATTGTACTAGCCCAACCAAAAATTTCATAGTGTCCAGGTATTGGGCTAGTCCATTTGGCACACACAGACAGAGCCACTGTGATCGACATCAGTCACTGTTTAAGACCAAGAAGTTGAATGGTATCTAAAAATCTGTAAACATAAAAAATTCCTATACTCAGGGACATCTACAAACCAAATGAAGCTTCTAATGTCTCACAGGCTTCAGCAAAATAAATAAATAAATAAATAAATAAAACTTCACAAAACCAGACTGAGGATGGAATTAAAATACACCCACTAGTCAAAAACTGCTGGTTTTTTCAGCAAGACCAAAAAAATTATTCCCTAGGTTAATAAATTTCTTAGACATGTCCATCCAGGGGACCAATAAGAAAATTCCCTAGGTGCATGTGATGCAATAATTGAAAGGGATCATTCAATTGTTAGCTTTGTAATGGAGCATGAGCTTGTATCGACTTTATATGTTAATTTGCTTACTTATTCCAAATATAAATTTGAACTTTGAGCAATCAAAATGACATAAGCAGTCTTGGAGATCATTCAGTCTTCAAATTTTTGGGGGAAAACTCTGTAGAGTCTGAAAATTCAATAAAATTATCTACCAATCCAGCTCCAAAACCATAGGCTGTTCAGGGGAAAAAAACTTCTGAATTACAACAGGTGGTATACAACAATAATACTCTAGCTCTTCCAGGTCCACTTTTTAAGTTCTGGCCTGCCATCACAACCATCTTTACTTATAACCATGTTACAATCAAGATAATCCCAACTAAAGGCAAAACAAAAGCTTTTTTTAATATCCTAATCTGACCTTGACCTTAGCCAAGAAAAGTAAATATTGTGTTTCCTATTCCAACCCGAGAAAAAATAGGGTAGGTAGGTAGGGAAAACATTTTATTTTATTTTATTCAACTTTGAGCATAAATATAATGAGAAAAACAAAGAGTTCATTTCTTTTTGCCCAAAAGGGCAGCTTGCTAATAGCATTTCTGTTTAATGTGTATAGTAGTCCCTGAAACGTTCTACTTTCCCACTTGAACGGTGAGCGAACGGTGAACGAACGCAGAGCGAACAGTGAGTGAATGACGTGTGAACGGTGAGCGAACGCAGAACGCGAACAGAGCGCAAACGCGAACGCAAAGTGAATGGTGAACGCAAGATGAACGACTTACTTGGAATCCCTCTGATCTTTTCCTTGCATTGAACCTATTCTATTGTATTCTAATGTTAGGTGCCAAAAAATAAATAAATAAACAAATTAATGAATAAATAAATAAAATACATGCTACAAAATTGTCCTAAGAAATTAAAGACGATACATGCACATTTAAGTAAAACTATTTTTTTTTTTTTACTTGTATGATGTTTAAATTCAACTTTTTAATCACACGAATTTTATCGCTGTAAAACATTGTAATTGTTACCGAACGCTGTAGTATAAAAGATAAAATTATTTTAGTTTGAAAATAAATATGTCTATTCTTATTTGATATAAAAAAAAACAGTACAAATAAGAGAAAAATTTGGACTTATAGAATGAATTATAACAGTTGTAACACCCATTCATACATATTTCCGTGCCAAGGCGATTCAGTGTAAAATAATGGAAAAAAAATAACAAAGGTCTGTGGACGTACTGCATAAATACACCCGCATTTTAGATTTTTAATGCAATAATATTTTTCTGTGTCATTTCTATTTTAATGATGATTTATTAAGCAAAACTTCTACATGTACATGTACCTGTAGACATTTCCCCGTGATTATACTCGGACAAGATTATACAAAGAGGCATACATATTCATATTATTTGTTATATATTAAGATTTCAGAACTTGATATTTAAGCAATATGCTGTCATAGTTTTTATCAAGCAGACTAGAGAGAGACAGAGAGAGATTCCGTTTTAGCCCCCCCCCCCCCCCCCCCCCTAGGCTTCACCAAATGTTTGTACCGATATCAAACAAAAATTCTTCATTTTTTTCTTCCTAAATATATCAGGCAATGAAAGAAACTTTTTTTTTTATCAACAAATCCATTTGTTTGACAGTCATACTCGTTTTTTTTTCCTGCTTCAAGTTCACACGAAGTCCACGTGCTCGTCCTGTCAATCAAAATCATTCGACACTGTGCAGGTGTGAAAGTCTTGTCACACCGAAGATGAAGTGCTAGTATCTCCAACAAGTTTTTAATCATTTCTACATTTGATTCCAACATTTCTAAATAAATAATTAAAATACATTGGGCATTAACACTTCGATTTGAAACGCACTCTCTGCCAAATTAAAATACCATCGCCGACACGTGTATATTTTGAACTACTATTGTTTAATGACTTTTTTAGATGCATTTTTTTTTTGAGACTGAAATTTTTGAGGAACAAAACATATTAACTCCTTTTAAAAGTTTATAAAATATACTGGAAATATTGACTAAGTAACTGATTTAGGAGGAAAAAAATTGGTCTCTTAATCATATCGAATGGCAAACATAAAGTTACAGTGAAGGAAGAATTTATTTTCTCTAAATAGACTTTATATCGTTACAGTAGAGAAAATCTGTAGTGTATTACATTTAAAATAAGTATTTTTTATAACCACACTATTAATTTTAATTCGCTCCAAAGATATTTAATTAACAAGATATCCGCAGTACTATGTATAATTCTCATCTAACAAGTTCTATCATGTATTTCTGTAGTAATTGAAAAAAATGTGTTTCAATAGAAATAAATATTTTCGTAATTTGGCTGCAGTGTTAGAAATAAATATTTTCCTAATTTTGCTGCAGTTTGTAACTTGATTAACTTGGATAATTATCCCTCCATTAATGATTTTTCGGCTATAATATAACAACAAAATGTTGCAGTGCTTGAAGTACTTATATATCGCCCGTATTTCAATTAAATTTTTCAGCATCGTTCTACATACATGTAGGTACATACTCAGAACAATATTTATTTCCTAGAGTAGATTAATAAATAACCTGAGAGCAAAGTTAGAATAATAAAAAAAAATGATGTTAGAATATTGTAGATATTTTTTTTCCAATGAGATAACGATTCTTTAAACATGATATGTTAATTAATAAATTAAAAATCCGTTAATCCTTGCTTACAAAAAGATAAGTCCTTTCACTTTGGAGTTCCAAATGACACTGAAGGCTGAACGATAAGTGAACGCTGAACGCAAGGAGAACGCAAAGTGAACGAACGGAGAGCGAACGCTATGTGAACGGTAAACGCAAGCGCACGTGAATGAACGGTGAATGTGCGCTGAACGAACGGTGAGCGAACGGAAAATTGGGAAAGTAGAACTTTTCAGGGACTGTATATGCATTTTCTCAAACGCGGAAGTGATCAAGATTAGGATTTCTAATAGTGAAAATTGAATTGTTTACTTCTGGAACGATATCGGCGGATAAATTTTTCAGGGTCGGATCATATTTTTTAGGGTCGGTCAGGGAACCGGAAACACACAATTTATTTATCTAGGCCATATTTGCCATACCTTTAGGTCAGGACACATCCTTAGGACACAATGTATTCTTTGACCATATAAGCACATGGCCAAAAAATATATTATTTGACCATAAAGCATGGCCAATTATACTGCCAAATATCACCAAAAAGTTATGCAACAGAAAGCAACAAGGTTACAGACAGAATGTCATAGGATTATCAAAATCATAAAATGTGGTCAAAAAATGATTGAATTCTGAAGCTACATTTTTCCAGCATCCAGTACTTTACAGCTACTTTGTTGAAGTTGTGAAATTTGTCACCTATTACTAGATTTGTTCAAATTATCTAGTTGATATTTAAAATACTTAATCAATGTTATGTTTTAAAAATTTCTGATTTGATACCAATAATTTTAGGTTTGGATTCCCCTCTTCACTTAATAAAAGGATCAATTTGGAACCAAATTTAAATCTGAAAATGATTTAAGACTGTGATTCAATAAAATAATTTAATGTTTTTTGCCCTTACTGCTTTCCAAATATAGTAATTTACACTTAACTGCCCTTGATTGAACATTACACATGCATGAGAGGTGGAGCTAACATTGTAAGAATGGGTCTAAAATTAGACTAGATAAATAACAAAGACATATTTGAGAAAAGAATATGACCATTCTTTCCAATCTCCCTCTTTATTCTGCAGGGTTAGAAACTCCCTAAAATCACAACTCGCAAATAATTGCGAGTACCAAGAAAGTGAACTTGCAATTTTATAAGACTACTCGCAATTTTCATATAAAAGCCTTTTTAAAATTAAAGTTAAATAAATGTAACTTAAGGAAAAAGTAAATAATGTACAATACACAAAATACAACTACAGTGTGACTTTTATTTAAATTACTGATTTAAATCAAAAGTATTATGTTCTGTCATATTATATAATTTTGGTACAGTTTCAATACATGGTTTTTTTTCTCTCACTTTATCTACATAATTCAACTGTAATATGAGGAATGTACTGTTTTTATACATCTATTATTACAAAGTTCTTACAAATTTTAAGATAGAGTTTCACAAATAAGTCATTCACAACTGATTTTGTTTTCAAGGGTTATATTGAACCCTTTTCCCATCCCTATTATTTTTTAAGATTTTAAATAAAACACATGATCATCATTGTTGGTGCCGTTTATTTGTTTTCAGCACCCTCTTCCAACTGCCGTTAAAAAAGATAACTAGCCATGCTGATATTTAAAGGGGGAAATAAAATATATAACCAAAATGAAAACTACAACCAAGAAGGGACTAATTTTTTCCCCAGGGAAAAAATAAACTCGCAAGTTTTCGCAAGTTACCTAATTTTTAACTCGCAATTTGGAAATTCTAACTCGCATTTTGCGAGTTGTACATAGTGAATTTCGAACCCTGTTCTGTATGGCACAAATACACTTCTTACAAAGGTTTCAAAACGAAATTAACAATATGAGCACGTCAATATAATTAAAGTAGATTTTATATCAATGCCAGATGACTTACAGAGTTGTGGAAAACTTTTTTAGATAGACAGTCATTCGGACTGGGAAGAAGACAAAATAAGCCGGTCCAAAGTGATTTTTGCCGGTCCGAAATAGAAAGTCGCAAAATTAAAAAAAAAAAAGCATAACATTTATTTACTTCATTGCACATCTATTTACTTAATAATAATATAAACATTCAGTGTCCAAGTCCTCCTCCGTTTTCATTTTTTTGCATTTGTAACAATACTAGATTTCACCGCTTTTGGGCAGATGACAATGCTAATTCAGCATAGTAATTAAATTTTTTTTAAACATTTATGCATTTGGGAATTATATTTACCTAGAATATGATTCTAAAAATTCAAGAAATTCTGTGCATCAATCATAAAGATATCAACACGATCGATGAAAAAACGAAATCCAGGACAGTTGGAAGTATTAGATTTACCGCTTTCCCCAACTGTGTTTGAATTCTTTCTGTCGAAATATTTCATATTTAGCTTGCCTATATCTGTTTCTTTATGATTTCTACTTAATTCTGCCCAGTTGAAAATTTAATTGGTCACAAGACCATGCTGGTTTTGCTTTCATTTATAGCCTCAATCTCGTGTAAAGAAAAAGTATTACGCAATCACATATAAGGTACAATAATTAAGCTGGGAAGTACGCGGATGATAAATGGAAAAAACAAAAAAAAAATTAACCAAAAAAGAGCACCGGTCATTTGGACTGACATCGATAGCATTTTTACTGGTCACACGCATTTTTTGCTGGTTTTGCCGGCATGACTGGCAGTTTTCCACAACTCTGGACTTTACGTACACAATGTCATAGTTAGCACAAAACATGCTACCTTACAAGTCATGTGACAGATTTAGTATTCACAAAGTTACCTGAGGTAAGAAATCATGTGGTGAATTATAATATTCAACGTCACAATGCTTGGTTACAATACAGAGAGCAAATGTAAGAAGAAGCAGTTTTTTTCTCTTTTTAACCATGAGCACGTTTGTCTATTAATCTCCTTTTGACACATTATTATTTATGCAAATATACAACTACTGTTCAACGTAGAACAATAGACAAACATGCGCTGACTATGTATAAAGTCAGTTAAAAAGTGGGCCTCCTCATTATCGAACAGAGATTCAAGAAATTGTGATGACCCCTGCCTTTGAAAACAGATTCAAACTTCGTAAATACACACTTTTATTAAATGTAATTACATAAAGTTGTAGATTGGATGTTTACCATTCTTGTAATGAAAGAAAAATGCTTGTTTTGAAAGTTTATTTTGTCGCAAATTTTGCATGTCCTTAAGTACAGTCATCCTTTTCCTTATACATACCCTTTAGAGACCCCAGCCCGATCTGCAATTATCTTTGAGTCTTTGACAGCTCCATAAGCAGCAAAAAACTGCTTCAATTCTTGTTCTGATGTCTAAAATATAAACAAGAGGGCCATGGGCCACATCGCTCACCTGAGCAAATTGGCTAGAAAAAAAAGCAAAAATCAGTTCAGTATTGAACAGTTTACGGGGGGGGGGGGGGGGGGGGGGGGATTGAATTTTAAACTAACTGATGATGCTTCCATATCAATATAGCAAATGGCTTTGCTGTTCTTGAGCAGATTTTTTCCTATATATTCATTTGTAATAATTTGATCCCCCATTGTGGCCCACTCTACCCCCAAAGGCCCTCATTTGAACAAATACCTGAGGCTGGTTCCATATCAATACGACTCATCTTGGCTTTTCTGTTCTTGAGAAAAAGATTTTTTCCTATATATTCCTATGTAAAACTTTGATCCCCCATTGTGGCCCCACCCTACCCCGGGGGTCATGATTTGAACAAACTTGAATCTACACTACCTGAGGATGCTTCCATATAAATATGACCTATCATGGCTTTGCTGTTCTTCAGAAGAAGAGTTTTAAAGAATTTTCTTATGTATTCCTATGCTAAATTTTGATCACCCGTTCTGGCCCCATCCTACCCCCGCGATGCTTCCATATAAATATGACCAATCATGGCTTTGCTGTTCTTGAAAAGAAGAGTTTTTAAAAAGATTTTTCTTATGTACTCCCATGTAAAAGTTTAGTCGCCCATTGTGGCCCCACCCTACCCCCGGGGGGTCATGATTTGAACAAACTTGAATCTACACTACCTGAGGATGTTTCCACATAAGTTTCATCTTTCCTGGCCCAGTGGTTCTTGAGAAGATTTTTAAATAATACCACTATTTTTCACTAATTCCTATCTCCCCTTGAAAGAGGGCATGGCCCTTCATTAGAACAAACTTGAATCCCCTTCACCCAAGGATACTTTGTGGCAAATTTGGTTGAAATTGGCCCAGTAGTTCTTGAGAAGTCGAAAATGTGAAAAGTTTACAGAGAGACCGACGCCGGACAAAACATGATCAGAAAAGCTCACTTGAGCCTTCGGCTCAGGTGAGCTAAAAAAAACTTTTATCTTATAAGATTTCATAGATTTATTTTATATTAAGTATTTCAGAACATTTCAATCAGGATATCACTAACCAGTAACTACTTTCAATGTTTAGATTGAATTGAAGATTTCCAGAAGACAAACCTGGCAAACAAACAACTTTTTTTAAACAGATAATCAAGATGTAACAAAGATGTGGACTTACATTAGCTGCTATTCCACCTACAAAAATGCGATTGGGGATGACGGTGCCATATTTTGGTGCGTGTGTACTGCCTAGGGGTGTTGATGAAGGAGTTACAGATGGGGAGACATCAGCTGATGAAGACTGTAACAAAAAATGTCACAAATCTTGAAAAATATTAAATCTGAAGTTTAACCACTTTTCTATCAATAGTTTAGTGCATGATGTAGATGCAAATTCACATTTACATGCCATGGAAAATTTGTCATTAACTTTTGTGCCAATATCAACTGGGAATTTTAAATTGAAATAAGTGGCAAAATTCACAAGAAATATTGACAACATTTGTTTTTCTGTAGCATACATTTTATACATGTACGCTTATCCCATTTGCACATGCTTCTTTATATAATTTGAAAATTCAAGATTAAAAGCACTAAAAAAAAAAACCACCCAATCTCATGTCTTTGAGGATTTTTTTACCCTTTATTGTGGAAAAATAGAATGTCAATTTTCAGTTGGGATAGGGTCCTTTTACCAGACCTGTGTGCAACAGATATTAAACCCTGTGACATTAACTTCATCAAGTCAAAAAATTCTATTTTTCAAAGCATTAGGCTATATCAAAACTTACAGCACAGACTCTGAATTGATATATTGTCATCACTTGTAATATTTCGACTTGTATTAAGTTATCGCATAAGCAGCAAATTTCGAACTGCAGGTGGCTGTCATGATCGACACGTAAAAAGCGTATCTGGCAACATTCTCAATGCTTTTCCAAACCTTTTAAGATAGTTGCATGATAATCGTCTGTAGTAATGAATTGTTTTACAAATGAATACGTAGATTGAAGGGGCAATGCAAATTAAAAATAGAATAGTGCCTAATTTGACATTTTTTAATTCTCCAAACCAAAGAGCAAGCGCTTTCACATGTTCAAGGCCAAGCTGGCCGTCTGCAACTTGCCCAAGACATCTTCCTGTCATAAACATGGTGCCGAATTGAAACCTGATGCGGTGCATGATGAGCTAATTTTAGTCATTGTTGTGCCTGTTACTCCTACAAAAGGTTACCGTGTGCTTTTGACGTGTTTCTTCGTATCATCTCTCATCAACTAGGCATAACTTCACACAAAATCACTTACCTTGATTTAGTTCTATGATACATATTTGTTATACTCACCATTCTGGGGAGACAAAAACACTCCTACTACAAAACAGACTATATATAAATAATATAACAGATCCTACAGCGAGGATGATCTTTGCAGCCGAAACTTTTGATGAGTCGGAGAACTGTCGGGCCTATCTAAGGATAGGGGTAACAGGATACTTTGAGTAGAGTTGAAATATTCATTCCTTTTAAAATATAGAAGAATTATATCACTAAAAATCTTTACATATATTCTATAACAATTTCATTGAAGATTGTGAAATGAATAAAAGAAATCAATCATTATTTTACGTTGACGAGTTATTCTTTTCCAGTACACCCCTGCGTTTGGTATGGTCCGAGAACTTCTTCCCGCCTGACGAGTGTTCACCAGCTTCGTGACGTTTGATGACTCTACCCGAGGTAGCACATGTGCGCTCTCTGTCTCTCTCTAGAGCCCTCAATTTTATGACTTTGATATTCAATCTAATGCAGACAGATTGTTTAATGTTTTGATTTCAGTTTTTTACAATTTAAATTGTTTTGTTTAAACTAAAGGACAAGTGAGATTTTATTTCTTTGTATATTAGACTTACATTTATTATAAGACCTGCAGTTTGGAAAGGGAGTCCGAAGAAATAAAGGAAGGTGTAACAGGCACGTAGCATCAGGGGGGCCTGGCCCCCCACTTTTTTCCAAACAAAACTTTTTACTATTGAAAATGTTCATTGAAAGGCCGGTTGCCCTCTTCCCACTTTTTGATGAAGTATAGTCAAGTAAGGGTAGTTTTCCTTTTTTTTTTTTTTTTTTTTTTTTTGCTTGTCTAGTTTTTCCAGGTAAGTTGAATTTTTTTTCTCTGACTGGCCCCCACTTTCAAAAACGATGTTACGTTCCTTGTAAGGAGGGGCAGAAGAATCTGGCTAACTTATACAATTATAGATAATTGCCATGCATCACATTCTCTGCTCTCATCTAGGAAAAAATTCGTTGAGATCAGGGGGCGGATCCAGCAGTTTCTGAAAAGGGGGGTCCAAGTTGATGCCTCCCAAAAATCACACCACAGACACCAGGCCCATACCGACGGTTTTCGAAGGGGGAAGGCTCCGAAAAGAGTTGACAAGCCAAAAAAAAAAAATGTGCAACAAACGTTAAAATCCTATTTCGTAGTGGGCCGGGGTGGGGCCTTTCTCTAACTTTTCGGTACATTTTTTCTTTCAGATGCTGGAATTTGCGTATGTATTTGGACCGTCCGGCAACAAATAGTGGGAAGGAAGCAGCATCAAATTAAATCATATGTACAGATTAAAACTACAACAGAAGATTATTCTCAGAAAAAATAAGAGGTCAAAAAACAACGACAGTTTCCGAATTTTTTCATTTTTACGCAATTTTTCATCAATTTTACAGCATATTTTGTTTAAGAAAATATAGAGTACAAGCTTGCCTATCTTCCAAATTTTTATATTCCATGTACTCGTATGAGATGCAGCTTGTATATAATAATCTCAGATAGGCAAACTTACGTCTAAATGTTTCCCGAAGTAAAAACTTAAATATCTGAAGGTCCTCCTTTGGCACCGTCTTGTGGACTCAATGTAGGCCTACGCTATGAATCAAAATTAATGCTAGATTCAACGAACCATCATTAAATGTTTTTAACTGCAAAGTATTACAATTTTAACTGTGTTTTGTCTTTTATATCAAATGAGAGGCAAATTTTGGCCGTTAGCTTAGGGTATGGGTGGCTGGGGTCCTGGACCGGGGTAGTGAAGGTATAAGGAGAAAAGCAAATACGCAATACTCTATATATCTACAGTGTATCTAGTCACTCTCTACCATCGGCTCATACATTCACGTGTCTGAGAGAGAAACGAACGACAACTCTGCATAGGAGATTGATATCTAGTGAGCAGAAAGGGCAGAGATTGAACTACTTATTTTATTCAAACATATTAGACGTAAAAATATCTATTACAGAAAAAAACTTTCTCTGCAAAAATAAAGGGGGGGGGGGGTTCCATCCCCCGGAACCCCTATCTGGATCCGCCAATTGGGATCTCGTTGGTTAATTATATCCACATGACTTATTTATTTATTTATTTATTTATTTATTTATTTACTTATTTATTTATTTATTTATTTATTTATTTATTTATTTATTTATTTATTTATTTTCTAACCCTTTCAGTCTTTAAATTATAGCTCAATCATTCATTTGCAATTTCGTACTGAAATGAATTTTTATAGCAAGAGACTAGCTGTTCATTTAGACCGTAATGTAATCTACATTTTTGGGGTATGCATGGGATGAAAAAAATATATATAGATTAGACGTAAGTAGTTTAAATTCAACTGAGAGGATCACAACCCCCCCCCCCCTTTAAAAGTGAGAGCGCATGGCCCGGTCGCTTTTTCATTTTCCGTTTCTTCCACAAAACATACGTGGATCTAGAGGGGGTGGGACCCCATTGCAATTTGTGGAGTCATTAAAGGTACATATAGTAAAAAGGCTCCTGTTATGCTGATAGGACATGGTCGTAGGAACCGAGGGGAACCGTGCGCCCCTCCCCCCAAATTTCCCGATATACTATAGAAAACATAGATAGTATATGCTCGTGCCCCCTCAATAAAAATGTCTGATGACTTTTTTTTTTTTTTTTTGCTTGTCAAGGAATTTTTGGTAGGTGATAGTGCCACTGACTGAAAAGTATGGTTGTCCTTTTTTTTTTTTTTTTTTTTTTTTTTTTTTTTTTTTTTTTTTTTTGCTTTTCACAACAAAATTGAATTTCCTGTTGGTTGGATTTTTTTTGAATTGGGGGTCCACCCCCCTGGAAAAAAAATCCTGGATCCACGCCTGCAAAAGCTTCTCCCTCCCTTACAATTCCTTTTTTTCTGCATACACTTTCCAGGTCCTTGGGACCCCAACCGCACCTCGCCCCCGCTCCGTAGCCAAGGGTTCTTCAACTTTTTCTCAAAAGATTTTTCTATATGACAGATATACAAAATATTACAATTGGAAAATCCAAAATACAACCTAAAACTTACCTTATATAAAAAAAAAATCACAGTCACGGATACTAATAGCACACGTGCTTGGGGACAGACCCCCCCCCCCCTTATAATTAATTATTCCGTACCCCAAGGGTCTTCGACTTTTTCTCAACAAGTTTTCTTTTAGTATCAATGAGTATATATGAATGTTTATAAAAGGTTAATATTAGATTACATTTTGGATTTTTCAATCGTTTTCAATCAATTTTCAATTGAAGAAATGCAACGCAGAATTCTGGAAATGAAATGCAGCGGAATAAATAAGGGGTCCACGACTATGCACCTTCCCCCAATACTCCATTAAAAATGGTTTCTGACCTGAGGTAATGGTTCGATTAATACTGGTGACATTTACCTAAATATCATTAATCAAAGTTTGAAAATTGCGGCCTTTCTGTATATTCTTAAAATTCGAAAAACTCGGGTACGGGATCAAATATTTTAAATGCGTACTGAAAGCACGTGCACTGAAGTTGCTCTTACACGTAGACTATGCTCTATCAAATTAAAGAAAGGGTCCAGGAAGCAAGTTTAATTATCTTTTTTCTGGGAGGCAATCGAAAGAAATTTCTTGAGAAGCAATTATTTTTTTACAGAATTTAACAAATTAAAGTTGCAAATGTGTCTTTTTCAAGCACAAAAATTATTTCTAAAATTGGAAGTATCGTTAACAAAAAACTCCTTTGGCCTAGAGTAATGGCGCATTTCTGGTGACCTTCGCCCACCTCATTGTTCCTTGTTCAATGAAAAAAAAACCCATAAATACATGATGTGAAATGAAATAATATTTATCAGGTATGGGTTCTTGCGTTCTTGCTATTGTTTTGCTTTTATTTTTCACTTACTGAAACTATAACTAAAAGAATCTGCTTTGTGGAAGTCGAGCCTTTGCTTGCAAAGCTCCGTTAATGAAGACCTTCAAATTTATTCATTGGCGGATATACAGGGCGGAGGAGGGGGGAACATATATTCAAATGCACTTTTTTGTTTTATCTTTTAAAGCATTAAACAAAGGACTTCGCCACTTCGGATTAACCACCATTTCAGTGAATTTGAAAAATTAAACAACATAATTATAAAAATATATTTTATATGTCAGATTTTTTTCCTTACATTAAATGAATTTTAGGCGAGACTTTTGACTTTTGAAAAATAATGAAACATTAATACATGTGTTTGATTAATTCCATTTCGCACACAGAAATAATGAAGTCCCATAAGCTTCCTTAAACTTTGGGGAGGGTTCAAAATTTTTTTAGCCCCCCCCCCCACACACACACATATACAAAATCCTGGAATCGCCAGTGAAATCTTGAAAAAAAATCCGCTATCTCTAAACAAAATGTGTCTAATACACTGTATTTGAAGAAGACGAAACCCATAAATAAAAATACCATGCAGTTATAAGAAAAACAAAAACAATTTCAGGTTTTCCTAAGTCGGAAGACTTTAATGACTTTAAATGCTTTTGCAGCTACACAATACTAATTAGAATCAAATATGTTTATTTTGACTGACAAAATAAATGATTTGATATACCCTCAGTTACATTACATGTATTTGATGCTTTTTCTGCTAATTTTTTGTATAGTCAGTGAATGTTGTAATGAGGCCATGTCTGAATATAGTCATAAAGTGTCTGTCCTGGACACTCAGTATTGCCTACGTCACGATGGCCTCTAAGTTTGTAGTTCCCGGTTATCTTTCCGTTATCCAAACCACATCTTATCAGTGCCTGTGCAGCGCGGATGGCATTTGGATTAGGGAGTCTTTCCCTGAAGTCACCGATAAAAGAAATGCCTACAAAACATAGTCAAATGAAGAAAAGCACATCCACCCTGGAACTTTTTTCGTAAATAAAATTGCTTAATTTGTGATCGGATTTACTAAACATATATAATTATATTGTCTGAGAATTCCCATCCACACCCCTCCAAAAAGTTAAAGATCAGTTGTAAAAGTCGTAATAAAACACCCAAAGCCATATCGATGCATTTATTCGCAGGAACTTTACACGTTGGATATACTTAAAGGGTATACGATGCATAAATAACACAAAATAATTTTCTTAACTAAGAGTCAGTTCAAAGGAAAATGTGTAATATTCCACAGATCAAAGCAAAAGAAACAACTTTACCCAGAGACTTTTTTCAAAACCTCAAAATGGATAAATATGACCTAATTAATTTAATATAGAAGTCAATGGGAGAAGTATAGAAGTATAAAGAAATTAATATTTGGAATAAAAGCATTTGGTGAAGAGATCCATAAAAATGTTTATAATATTATGAATTAAAATGCATAGACCACCTTGCAAATTTGATAGAAATTAACATTTTTTTACACATTTTTTCAAGGGAAGGTAACTCTTTTAATTAACACTGAACACTTAATTCTGTCCATATATTTCATCTATAGTTCATTTCGTTTGTTCTTATCATCTTTTAAACTCATTCCATAAGCATTATTAATTTGAATATACACGTATACTGAAAGTAACAAATATCCCTCTAATTATACCCTTATATTAAGGAGCGTTTGGGAGATTTTGAACAATTAAGAACATCATAATTTTCATACTATTCATTCAGTAAAGCCTTAGTGAAGATAGTTTGTGTATGCTATTCAGACCATTTACAAGAAGCACCACAAGAAAGAAAGAAAAACTTCATGAATGCTGTGTTAGTCACTCTGACGTATAGACTGTCAGACAAATTGGTGTAAGGCAGGGAAGACTTACCTGGTATATCCCCAAATCTCTTAATACCTTTAGTCTAGTGTGAGATCAGAAGGAGGTAAAAAGAAAACTAAACATTTTTTAACAATCTACAGTTCATTTTTGCTGATGACATACTTATACTAGAGCTACAGGGGGGGGAAAATTTAACAAGAATAACTCCTTTAATTGAACTGCTAGTGGAAGATACTGACAAGTCCGATTTAATTAACATTACCACTGCGTATTTGGGAATTAGAAATGAAGACAAAAAATAAAGTATTCAGGAGTAAAAACAGACTGTGAACCCCAAAAAAGCATACTTATACACATGCAGCTGTGGGTTTTATAGCTATAAGTAAGGATTTCTTACCTAAACTCACGGAGTTGTAGCCATAAGCATGAGCGCCCACCTGATCCCAGCCACGCCCTTCATACACGTTACCGTCCTCTCCCACCATGAAGTTGTATCCAACATCCCACCAGCCTAATTAGCAGAGGAATATGTTCACTAAGGTATAATAAAACAATCAACCAGCCTTTTCCGTCAGGTCTAGAAATAAACATCGTTTTTTCCGCACTTGATGCAAAAGGCTGATTGATGCTCAAATTTGGTATACAGCTACTTTAATCTTTTTTTCTTTTTTCAATGCATCTAGAAACAAGTGGCCCATAGGCCTTGACGATCACCAGAGTATCATGAAAAAAACTCGCCCCCTATCGATTCAGTTGACAAAAAATTAGGTCAATACTTTGGGTAGGATTAATTAAAACGCGAACAGCTTTCACGATTATAAATGCAAAACTTATAGGGGGGGTCAACTTCTTACCTCGTCCAGCAGGTGGTGCGGACATGTGAAAGGTCTGATATGAGCGCACTCGCTTTGAGCACTCGTTTTGTGTGGAACATGGACTGGTTGCTCCATGATGTATAATTACTAATTTTGGTTTTTCTGTCAACAGCGTCATGGAGTGTGAAGGTGGCATCGCGCCCCAATCAGCGCGTGTGATGATGGGTGGACACCCAGGTAATTGGGGGGACGGCCTTACTGCAGTAGGGTCGACGGAACCGGGTGTGGTTGTTGGAACCGTACCTGTGCAAGTGAAAATTATTTTACAGATCATAATTAATTTTGTTGCGTGATTTTTTTGTTGAAAGAGTGCAGAGAAAGTATTTTGATCTAAACAAAAGTTTCGTTGCAAAGGGCAATCCCGGTGATGCCCCATTGCAAAGAATAAAATGAACTGATTAGATTTTGAGATGAATCTGATTCAATTTCAGACAAATATTTTTCAAGTAACTGAAACTGCAGCAAGTATGAAGAAATTGACGTATTCTACTTTGCTCTCTGTTATAGAGGTCCACATCTTTGTCAATCTTTTTCATTGAATTAAATTTCGACAATTTTAAACATATATATACTAGTATATTTAAATTTTTCCCCTCTGTTTTAACACGGACCTACCTATACACATTTGCAAATGTAAGAAGAGTTTTCAATAAAATTTGGGTTAATGACATCTGATAAAAACAAAAGATGGATGAATGGATCGGTATATAGTTTTGGACTTATTTTGGTCGTAAATGTTGCATACACTGTATATCAAATCTCTAAAATATTAAGAAATTGTAGACTTCTATGATGTTAAAATTTCTTCCTTTTTGCCATCACCTTTTTAAATCTATACATTTTTTTCAGTTGAATTTATAGGACATTATTGAGAAACTTTGATTAAAAATTGAATTTTTAACTTTATGTGACGAAACTTATTCATTTTACATGTAATTCTATTGACATAGATTCATTTTTTGTTTTTGAGGATTTTTGAAAAAAATTAAGTTTGTATCATCTGTCCTTTAAAAATTAAAGGAGTAAAATTAATTCTGACGTAGATACACAAATATGTTCAAAGACAAAAACCTAAGCTTTAAACACACATACACACACAACTCAGTGTACATGTATATTGATCGAAACACGTGAAAATGCCTCAGCTCCTTCTAACAGGAATATTGTTGAACACAAGATGAACAAAAACATAGAAGAATGCTAAGTTTTAAAGAATGGGGATTGGATAGTTAATGCTGGATTTGTCTTTCTACAGGGATGCTTCTTTTAATTTAAGTCCAAATCCAACTGCTACTCAACAACTACTTTTTATCAGAAATGCACTCACAATGTATTGTTTATAGCGAGGCAATAAAAACTAATATTAAAGTAAAACCTGTCGAGGAAAAACTACTCACTGTCACAGTCTCGGATTTCTACAGATGAGATGGATATCCAGGCACTCTACAAAATAACAAGATTTTTTGTTTGTAGAACATTTTCACCGTTAGTGTATAATTTCAAGTTTTGCTGACCAACAACTACAAGTAAATGACATGCATCGATTTATACTCTTCCTACGGAAACTATATATATGCATTGATTTGTAAGTGCATACGTTACTGTTGTCACCGCCCACTGTTATAATTGTTATAAATGTGACAGGCAAACCGGCACATTCATTTTTATCATTCAAATTTTTCTAAACATTCTGCGAAATTTATATAATGGATCAGATAACCAAGACCGAGTTCATATCAAGTTTTATGATAATGCCCCAAACTTTGGTTTTCTATGCGCTTGCAACCAACATGCATGGGATAACAGACGCACAAGTTTTCTTACGCCACCGCAAAATATACACCTATTCCCTTTAAGTACCAACATTTGGTTGATAATTTTGGTATACAATATTACTTGCGTAAACCTATTAATTATATGTACAAAATACAAATTGCTAGAATTAGACTATCTGCACATAATCTAAATGTTGAAACTGGTAGATATGTTAATGAAATTAGAAAAAACAGATTATGTAAAATGTGCTCTTTGAATGTTATCGAAGACGAATTTCATTTTATTTTACAATGTCTTTTTTATCATGACCTTAGATCTGAGTATTTGAAAAAGTATTATTATAAGAAATCCAGTGTTTGGAAATTAATTCAACTTCTAAGTGTACAAAATATAATGGAACTTTGTAACCTTGGAAAATATTTATATCAAGCTTCCACTAGAAGACTGAAACATTTGTAAATTTTTAGTGTTTTATAATTACAGTTGCCTGATAGAAAACACGTCCTACATAGTTTACTTGCTATTTATTGATTATGCTCACTCTCATATTGTTATATTTTACAATATTGTATGTATGTTTATATATGTAATCTGATGTGTCGTATGACGCAAAGAAATAAAGAACTTGATACTTGATACATAAGTATATGAATGAATAAAAAAAATATAAAGCTTAAGGTCAGACGAAACTTCCTAAAATATATATATATTTTTTTCCCCCAGGAATTTGATATTGAAGTTCTCCTTCTTTAAGAAACTTCCTCATGAAAAAATTGGGGTAATACTTTACCAAGCATTTTCGCAAGATTCGGGAGGATCATTTTTCCTATATAATCCTACAAGAAATTACTTGAATTGTTTATATCACAATTTTTGGTTCATGTAATTTTCCAGAAATTTTAAAAACGGTTTAGAAATCAGAAGATATTAATAATCATAAAAGATTTTGGTATATCATGTAGAGATGCAAAATAGATATTTGAGGAACGTGTCGTCATGCAGATCTTAAGGTTCATAAACCCGCTGCTCACTCATATAATATGTTGCTTTAACTTTTATGACTTTCCGAAAGAAATGCATTTTATAAGTAAAATACAAACAATTATACCATAGCTTGCGAGGCTTTAACAAAAAAAGACATTTCAACTTGACAAAATCTATAAAGGAATAATAGTCATGTATGTCATTTAGAGTTATCTCTCTTATCAGAGTATCGATGAACCTTAAGTAAACATGATACATGTACAGTGTACATTCCTGAGTGTGAGTTTTGTTTACATATACCTGGTGGTGGTACTGTATATGCTGCCAGGTGGCGTTAGTGTGGGGAAGGATCTGGAAACACTCCCCGATCACCGCTGTTCCTACGAAACCTGCATCACTGTTCAGGATCTGTTCTCTTGTCAGTGCGCAAGCGCAGTCTCTTGCATGCGAGTTTTGAATTACGGTAAAAATAGTAAATATCATTAATATCCACATTTTTTCTGGAATAAATAAAAAAAAAACATGCTGTTTAAAACCAAATTTGGTGTGGCATGTATGTTTTGACAACAATTATTTATCCATCAAAATAAATGCAGGATTCACATGTGTAAGAAACTACAGTAGCAGGACCGGGGAGACTGCAACCATGCAATTGAATTTTCAGTTATTAAATTGATATAGTAAAGTAAACAAAAATGACGCTGGAGCCCATCCCTGAAAAATACGGACCCTTGTAAATTGATAGGAAGGAAAAGCTTAATGTTCATAAGTATCCAAACCCAGCCTCCCAATCCAAGTCAGCGAAAAGTTTTTCGCTTTTGCACACTATTTTTGCTTTGTTTTGTTTGTTGTATTTTTATTTTTTGTTTATTTAATTTTTTGTTTGCTTAAACAAAATTTCCAAGTCAGATATTTTAAGTATGTATGCAATTTGCAACCCCCATTCCCAACAGGATACAATTCTGGATCCACCCTTAAACTGGTGTTATATACATCAACTGCAGATATACATGTGCATGTGTGCATGTATATTTTTTTTTTTACATCGAATGATTACGTCTTTATACCTATAACAGATAGCACGAGTCCATGGTCCAACGACCTTGACAACTTAGTTTTCATAACCGAATTTGATTCGCCTGTATGCATAGCCTATACGTGAACATATATGTACAAGATGGTTAAACAGACAACTACATGCATTTTTCAGATGGAACCATGTATAATATTGAGTGTATGTTATGGTGCTTGAAAATTATGAAAAATACACACTTTCATCTTCTTTTTGTTTTATATGGCTAGATATGCAAAATTTTTGTTATAAAATTAAAGAAATACATCTTTGAGCTACTATATGGATTTGTATAGCAAGAATGAATGGACTATATACCGACAAAAAGAAAAATTGTCTACCAGAGAAAGAGAGAGAGGACCAAACTATACTCACCGTCTTTTTTCTGTACAATTAAGTGAGATGGTTATCACATTGACAATATGAACAATAGGTATGGTGGAGAGATGGGGCAAACTTGCCATATTTATGTCTCTGATTTAACATACCATAAAAAGAAATGTTTCAGCTGCATAACTCTAAAGATAGGACAATTTTCATAGAATTGAATTTCGGTGAAAAAAAAGAGAAAGCTTTTGGCTCTTTAGATTTTAATATTGTATAATAATGAATGTAGCTTTATCCTCCATTGTTTCAAAGCAAATTTCATTTCATGCAATTTTGCTGCAAGCAAAACTATAAAATGAAAAGATGGTGTATTTTGAACAGAATAAATGATTTCATAATACTGAGTTAAAAGGGTCTTGTTTACTGTATAGGTAAAATTACCCATGACTTCCATTTGAGGAGTATATGCTTGAGTATGTAGTTATATTGGCTCGTATATGCAAACCCAGAAGCTCGTGTTCAATCTGTAATTAACATAAATGCCCCTCCCCCTTTTTTTTTTTTAATTTGCAATGCTTTACATGGGAAAGAAACGCATTAATACTATATTATTTGAAAGCCTTTAGATGGCAAAGAATATTGAAGCAATCTGTCTTCCCCTTTCGACTTTTCATTGATTTTTTGTCATATGACAATACTATTTCTCCATAGAAATAACACTGCCTTATCTCATTTTAAATAGAAGTATGTCACACTGAACATTTGTGTCAAAGACGCAGATCGATGAACCCTCTAAGTCGATTAGTGTATGCCCCCTATATAAAAGTACTGTCTTATATTGTCCACAAAAGATGCATGGTGATATCGCCACAAAAGAATTCAAAAAAAAATTCCATACATCGATATTTTCATGTAAATTATTTTTGGTTAATTGCTGTTAACTTATAATCAATAAAAAATTATTATAAAGATTTATAAAAATGATTAACGTGATCTTGAAATATTTAACCTCTTTATTACATGCGTTTTCTTTCAAGAACTCCATTGGTAAAGTAAACTTGTACATAGTAATGTACGTAGTGTAGTGGGCATAAAAGAAGACCTGTTTATTCTGTGTTCGTTGGCTTGAAAAATCATATTGTCTATCTGCCTGGAGTGTAAAACACAAAATATGTTACCTTCAATAACACATGTAATCTCATACCATTTGTTTGTATTTAGTTTGTGTGTGCGATTTGTTTCTTTTTGAAAGACAAATCAAAATAATTTGTTTGTCTCAAAATCGGAGGGGGGGGGGGAGGTTGCAGTGGAACAGACTATAGAGACAGCTAGACAGAGGATAGACACCTTACTAATGTCTAAGCCCTTCTGTTCTGTGACCTTCTGTCAAGTTCATAAAAGCAAAGAACACCGTGACACCATGCAGTAGATGGCATTATATAAGAATGGATATTTTGACAGTATATAATTTACAGTAGCGCACTTTGGAGGAGTGTGAATTGATGTCAAGTGCTCTGCATTATTTAAGATTTTTAGGGAACGACCACTGATTCAAAAGAGTGAGGGGTTAACACATTTTGGAAATATATACTAGTAATCTGTCCCAGAAATGTTGAAAATAAGTAAATATGCTGTCCTCGTCGTTGAAGAAAATAAATAATCTGACCTTGACAGGGTGGTCATTTTCATTTTTTATTTCCTTGTCAACATTTTCCAGGGAAGAGAATAATTTCTCTGTGGTCATATTGGAAATAAAAAATTCTGTCCTGCGAGGGCATAATATGACTCGACAAAATTTGCCAGCCCCCCCCCCCCCCCCCGAAAAGATTGGGTATCCATGCTCTGTCCTCAAGCACCCATGCAGATGATGATGACGGGTAGAGGTTTCTACATGTAAATTACAGCGATAATGTAGAAATAAAAAGAATTCCATTATTCTACAATACTTTCAGAAATGTGTATTTCTGTATACTAGCATTTTTTCTTGTTCATTTTATTAGCACCTTAGTCTTTATAAGCTTTTTAACAGCTTAAACTTACAGTTTTATGCTGTTAAAAGTGTATGCATATATGTGCAACTGATAAGAATTAAAATCCTTACTGTTTCGGCTTCCTCCCGGTCGGTTGTAAAAAGATATCATATACGAACAATTAAAACAAACAGATGATAGAAGAGGCGTAAATATACAAAAGTTTGCCATGCAGGAGCTAGGCATGTGCTAATTGTGCTTACCAAGTGTGTATGGAAAAAGCATACAAACTAAATGAGAGACAAGTTTTCTTTCTATAATTTTATTCCTGGTTTATATTTAAACTACGTTTTCAAAAATTAGGACTTCCTCATTTTCCCAGCAAAACGTCAAATGATATAATTATTCGGAAAACAACATCTCTCTTTGAACAGGTTTTATCTTTAGTTTTCTGTAAAAATTAGCATCGCTAAAACGCTTTTTATAAAGGAAGGTATCTAGAGAGAGAAAGTTACAATTAGATTATGATTTAGAAAAATACACGTGCGGGAGTCAAAATGTCAACACACTTAAAAGAACCTTCTCTGAAGAATTTAACAGGGAAGACTTATGGAAAATTAAATCCTAAACAACATCAGGTGGGTGTGACATTCATTTCAGCAGAGAAAAGTAGCTGTCGACTTTATTGTCCCTGAATTTCAACCTTCGAGACAAGACGAGGGAGTTTTTTTTTTTTTTTTTTTTGAAGACTTTTCTACATTATCTTTTCATATGCATTTACTTGAGTATGTTCAGGCAACACTTAAGCAGTCTGGGACACATTGCCCAAACGGGATATAGGCATAAATAACAATGCAAAAAATGGAGATCTTATTTTCTCATTAAGAAGACTGATCCGTCGGAAGATCCTAAAATTCTTGGGGATCAATCTCATAATCGCTAGGGTAATAGGAAAACTTTTTTGCCAATGTATATTTACATTATTTTTGTATATTGACAATAATTATATCCATAATAAAATTTTCCATTTATGCACTGTAAATTTTTATCCCATTTGGGATATTATACACCAAACAGGCTATTATATCCCATTTTGCCAATTGGTCCCAACCTGTTAAATGCCCTGAATTGGCAAAGACTCACAAATGAATAAGTTTTCAGTACAAGCAGTAATATGTTGACAGTGCGACTGTGAGGGTTAGCGCAGATACTTATTCAATTTTAATTTAGATCTGCCTCTTCAAACTGCATGTGACATTTGGAATGCCTAGACTCTGATGTCACATGACATTATATATATATATGTTAGTTGCATTACCATAACAAAGTCTGAAAAGTGCAAATTTTAGCAAAGAATGCTTAGTCTACTATTTATCTGCAATATCCATTAAATCAAGGCAAGTTTCTGTTTTGGTAAGCTTTTGTAGGTACCACAAGGACGTAGTTTGCGGCAAGATACAATTCACTAAGGATTTTGGGTCAATCCAGAGGTTACTGTGGAAAAAAAATAATTTTCAATATGCAAAGTCTGATTTTTCTCTTTGCCCAGGCGTTGTTGTTAGAGCTCACTGCGCTTGCTACGAGTTCAATATAAAAATGCATATTTCTGAAATTTTGCCGTGACATCACAGATTTATCATGTAACGGTCAGAGGTATAACTACCATTAAAATAAGACAAAACATCATGAAGTTAAAACTGTATAGAATTCTACATGACTGGGGTCATCTTGCTTCTTTCACTAATAACAACATAAAACCATCTTCGGTAGTCAAGTATTTCTGATTCAATCAACTCCTGACAAATCCTTGGCCTATCTTGCAATCAAACATTAGAATTGTTTAAGTCACAATATGATCTTGAATCTTAATACATCATACATATAGCTTGGGCCAAAAAATGGGGAAAAAACTGATCCTTTAAGAATATATGCAACAAGGGATGATTATTTTTTATTAAGGGTAGAAATCACTGTCTGTTTAATAAATGTGTATACCACTGTTTTAAAGAATAGTTTGTCAACTACATTTCTTTTCATTGGACTATATAGAGTCAAAAAAAATATTTTCATTCAAAGTTGTTAATGCCTTAATTGTTCGATCAACCTTATATTATAAATAACAATTGATACAAAGGTTCTTCCCTGCTTTCCATCATTTGTGACAAGATTTAAATCAACAGTATGTTGTACAGTAGATGAGAATGTGTTTTTGAAATAAATTGATAAAATATGTACAGCTATTATTTGAAATTTCAGCCACTTCAAGATCTAACAAAACCTCACATAGATTCATTCAATGCACTGGTACATGGCGGATTAACCAGAGCAGTACAGGTATGTCTGAATTCATTAAACTCTCATTAAGGACATACGCAATGTAGTTTGAACTTTATTGTCTTTTTCCCTGGAGTTGAAGAGTTCCAATACTCAAAGGAACTGTGTGCTGCATTTTAAGGTTTATATATGCTGTTGTACACTTCTTCTAAAACAAGTTTGGATGAACAAAACATCTAGAATATATGTTTAGTAATTTTTGTATATTTTTCTTTGAATTATACAAGAATTTTCATCAATTGATAACTTTTCAAAACCCCTGGTAATGCATGCTGATTTTTTGTCTACAAACATCTGATGGCACTATAATCTTAAATTAAGAATATCTTGAAAAATTATCAGTAGGTAAGGTACGTTGCGTATGTCCTTAATTATGTATGTAGCTAATTTTTTTTGTATAGAAATAAGTTTGTTTTTTTTTTGACTGGGAGAAGGTTAAAAAAAAGTACATAGTATACCTGCATATGTAGAAAAAATTATTATATTTGGCACTCTGGGAACCTGACTTACTCCTGAATATTAATACATGTATATTTAATAATCAAAATATTGGTGCATAGTGCATACACCAATATGGTCATCAGATTTTTGGTTTCTGTTTGCTTACCACATTAATTTTTGACATGTTTCTTATTTCAGACAATTCCACTTGTGGAGTTTGCCTTGCCAAATGGAGACAGGGTCACACTTAAAATGCTGGTAAGAATTTGATAAAACATCCAAGAAAATGCATTGTTCTTTCGCAATCTGTTCTTTTGTATTGAAATAATAATGTTATGTATAATATTGCATGATTGCATTAAACATTCATTTCGGTAGGATGCAACAATATCATGTCCAACAGTGGATTCAGGCAACAAATTTGCCCAGACATTAAAAGTCTACCCAGCTGAGGTGAGTTTCTGATGCACACAGCCAAAGTTATCCTGTTGCATAAATATGAAAAAGGGAATAAGACACATTTTATGAATTTCTTAAGATTTTAGCCATAGATTGATTAGGAACTCCATAAAGAAAATAAATGAAAAGGATTGGTCATTTATTTTAAAAGATTTTCACCAAAGGAAAAAAAAATCATTGGTCACCTTTATAGTCCTTAAATGTGCAATGTAGCTCTTGAATGATTATCATCTCAAATAGTTCCCTTACTGTGGCGTCCAATAATTTCAGTGTCGAGAGAGAGTCACTTCCTACTTAGGGAGTCTGAACATTGGTATGCTGTGGAAGCTGAATGGGCGAGTCCAGGACACAGTGGAAAAAAAGATAGCAGACGTCCCAATTATGGTCAAGGTCAGACATATTATATCAAATTACCCTTTATTTATGAGTGGATATAAGGGGATTATGCTTTTTTTTATGCTTGTCAAAAAATTTCCAAGTCTGACAGATGTTAGATTTGATGTGGACCCCCTTGATGAGGATACACACAAATGGGCCAAAATTTTTTATGCAGACATATATTTAGGCAAAAATCTTCAAGAATATTGTCTTCCAAAGAACTACTGTAACATAGCTTTTAAAAGATTGCAAACATCTGCATGTAAGTTTATTATTGTGCAATGGCTGGACTCACAGCAAAGATCTGGTAACAAAAGAGGTTCAACAAATTTGTAAAAAAAAATATTTTCAAAAAACATTTCAGAGCCAGAAATTTTCAAATTAATATGCAAGCATCCTCTTACAGTGTAGGTTATAGTTTTAAATCACGGCCTTCTAGATTAGATTGGACCACATTTAGATTTAATGGTGAGCATATGAAGAAAGATTAGAATATCTGTTTCAAAAGCCCTTTGCCTCATAATATGATAAGAGACCCACATTTAATGATCTTCACAGTTTTATTCAATAAGTTCTTTTATTTTCAAAGTCCGATATTTGTAACCTCAAAGGCCTTAGTCCCAAAGAGTTGGTACGGAGAGGTGAAGAGGCTGAGGTAAGGGAAATAACTCAAGCCAGGAAGACAAAGTTTGATCAAGAACATTATATCAATAATATATAAAGACAGTGGTACATGCATGTTTGGAACTAAAATTTTAAGAATGTGTTCTTAATGATTTAATGATATGATTTAAGATATATTCATGAAGAATTTTTTGATTTATATAGTCATTCATGCGGGTGATGTACATGTAAATGCTGTTTTATAGGAGATGGGGGGATACTTCATATGTAATGGTCTCGAGAAAATCATCCGAATGTTGATCATGCCCAGGAGGAACTTTGTAAGTGGTTAATAGATGAAAACAAATTTTAGTTCATGAATAAAAAAATATAACACAGCATAATGTAAATTCATTGACTGCTAAAAAGTTCTACCTCAGACTATAATGGCAGCATCAGTAAAATACACATGAGCAAAATGTACATGTATTATTAAAACATTTATTTGTATGTGTACATCAAAGTGAAGAATTGTTTTTTATCAGTTTTAACAAGCAATCTTTGTTCACAGCCCATGTGTATGATAAGGCCCTCCTGGAAGAACAGGGGCAAGCAGTACACAGAGTTTGGTGTGTCACTACGCAGTGTGGGGGAGGACAACATTGGAGTGGTAAGGTCAAAAACAGGGAGGGGTTGGACAACTTTGGAGTAGTGAGGTCAAATACAGGGAGGGGTGGGAAAACATTGAAGAGGTAAAGTCAAATACATGGAGGGGTGGGACAACATTGGAGTGGTAAGGTCAAAAACAGGGAGGGGTAGGACAACATTTGGGTGGTTAGGTCAAAAACAGGGAGGTTAGGACAACATTTGGGTGGTAAGGTAAAAAAACAGGGAGGGGTGGGACATTATTGGAGTAGTGAGGTCAAATACAGGGA